AAAACAATACAAATATGAAGCAGAGCATAAAATACAGACCCCCAGAAATTCCAGGAGGAGGCCTTACAATTGGTATGAAATATATCAGCCAAAATACGTCCCATTGATTCGTCATATTTGTTAACAAGGTCATTATAACGATCGTAGAAATGCTGAGTTAAAACGAAATTAACGATATCCTTGTAACATCAATGCATCTGCCAGTAGCCTGCATCGGTTTAAATGTGATCGTACCCAAAGCATACTCTTCTGTATCGTATAAGTTGGGAGACGTAAGCATCATAAGCAGGTGAAAGCGGAATATTATTACATAAATAAGGAAAGTTGACGAAGGAAAAGTTGAAATCATATCTATTGTCATTCAAATGAGATGTTAGTTGGCCCTTATCGTCTAAAATGATTCTACAGTATTGCTGAAAGAGTAATATATAAAAAAGCAAACTTGCAAGTTTAAATTTGAAGATATAAATTGGGAAACAGTGCATTACTTTCAACAACTAAATTTGAACTAAAACAATCTTTTTAATGTTTAAAAAATTATTGGTCAGCTGATATGGCTGGAATGTTCAGCAATAAAACAAAAGATACCTGTATAATGAAATATGGTGATAACAAATAGAAATCAAATTCAAAAGTCCATTGAAACAATACAAATCGGGAGCAGAGCAAGCACATACCTCTAAAAACATCAGAGGTGGGATCGGGTGCCATGGAGGATTAAGCATCCCCTGTCGACCCGTCACACCCGCCGTGTACTCATTGTCATGATCGGACAAACGGAAAAATCCGTTGACAATTCAGTGTTTAATAATGGCCAACAATTAGTATGAAACGCATCAGTAAGCATTTTCGACTTAATGATAAACTTTATTTGCTGACAAGGTCATTGTATCGACCATAGAACTGATGAATTTAAACGAGACAGTTGATAGCCTTGTTCCATCAACTTGTTTGTCAATAGCCTGCCTTGTTTATATCATTTTTTACGTAGGTATACATGTATCATGTACATGTTCTTTAATATTTGTTGGCTTAAATATTACAGGCTTTGGAAACAATTTACAGCAAATATGTTTCGTAGAAGAACAAAATTGTTGTTTATATTTGTAGATAAATTGGTAGCCACGTTTAATTGCAGTGACAAGGACAAAGAACCAGCCGGTAATCCTGCTGGTTGTTCTGCAACATATATTGAGTCTGGAGATGATCCCCTACCAAAGTTTAAAATAGTAAATGATAATACAATCTACACCACTAACAACGTCATTGATTACGACAGTGGTGAAATCATGTACACGCTTATTGTGGTTGGTGTTGACAGTTCGACTCTTGACCCTCAAAAAACAGGATCTATGACTGTAACCATCAACATTGAACCAGTAAATGAGTTTACTCCTTTTATAGATGGACAGCCACTAAGTATAAATGTAAGAAAATGAGTGGATAGACTTGATTGGGTTTAATTAAACACCATGTTTCCTATTGCCGCTTATTATATTTTGCATTATCCAAAATGTACACATATTAAAAATCTTTGTCTTTTTCTGACTTCCAATTATTGATCTTCTTATAATCGTTTATTGAAATTCACACTTTAAAAATTTTAGAAGTTAAGTAAGAAACATAAAAACAAAAATCAAACTGTTTAATTTATTTGTTGGATATTCTTCGTTTGTATCAATAAACATAGGTCCATAGGAACCGGCGGTGGAGTTGGATTACGTGGAACCGTGCCCCCTCCCCCCCCTCCCCATTTTGCCAGTATATACTTAACAAAAGAAAACAAAGCCAATTTATGGTTGTGTCCCCTAAAAGTCTGATGACCTTTTTCTGCTTGTCAAAAAATTCTGGTAGAGGCAGTGGCACTAAATTTAAATTGTTTCCTATGTCCTGAAACAGTTTATGAATGCTACAAAATGAAGACAACATGCATATTTATATATGTATAATTATATAATTTAGTAAACTTCATTCATTGATTTGATTTGTTTTATATTTGAACATTTTCTCCTCAATTGCAAATGTATGGCATTTATGACGGTACGTGTCGTTTTGTACATATTGTCGCCTATATGCACGTTTATTATATAGCTAAATAGTCTAAATAAAGCAGCGGCCCATGGGCCATAACGCTCACCTGAGTAACTTTGACCTTGCTGTTCTTCAGATTTTCCCCCTTGTAATACTAATTGTTGCCCCACACTATCCACGGGGGTCAAGATTTGAACAATTTAGAATCTGAACTACCCCAGGATGCTTCCACATAAGTTTCAACTTTTCTGGCCCAGTGGTTCTTGAAAAAATGTTTTCCTATATATTTCAATCTAAAAATTGGATTCCCTATTGCGACCCCGCCCTACCCCCGGGGGTCATGATTTGAACAATTTAGAATCTACACTACCTCTGGATGGTTCCACGTAAGTTTCAGCTTTTTAGCATAGTGGTTCTTGAAAAGAAGATTTCTAAAGATTTTTCCTAAATATTTCGATGTAAAACTAGGATTCCCTATTGTGGCCCCGCCCTACCCCCGGGGGTCATGATTTGAATAATTTAGAATCTACACTACCTCAGGATGCTTTCACATAAATTTCAGCTTTTCTGGCCTAGTGGTTCTTGAAAAGAAGATTTTTAAAGATTTTTTCCTATCTATTTCAATGTAAAACTTGAATTCCCTATCGTGGCCCCGCCCTACCCCCGGAGGTCACAATTTGAACATTTTAGAATCTGAACTACCCCAGGATGTTTCCATATAAGTGTCAGCTTTTCTGGCCCAGTGGTTCTTGAAAAGAATATTTTTCATATATATTTCAATCTAAAAATTGGATTCCCTATTGCGACCCCGCCCTATCCCCGGGGGTCATGATTTGAACAATTTAGAATTTACACTACCCCAGGATGCTTCCAATTACAGCTCAAAGGTTTCCTCTATAGAGAAACGAATTAGGTCACCACGTCACAATCTGGCTGTTCCATTTAACACCAGAGTGTCAATTTGTTTGTTTACTTATGTATCGATTGCACTGGAATGCAGATGATTTGAGCTTTCGTTGGATTAAAAATATTCTTTTAATTATTTATAAATTTGTTTGTAACATCTATTGAAAAATATTTATAAATGTAAAGTAACAAAATTAGTTGTCTATTTTATTGCCTTATAAGTAAAATCACGGAGTGTAAATGTTGTGGGGAGGTCCGTGGAACAGCTCCATTTAGCTGTAAAAACCGACTTTAGGCAATAGATTGCGGAAGACAACACATCGATATGGTCCAAATTAGTATTAGAATCTAAAGTCAAATATTCATTTCAAATGTACAGGTTTGATATGTGCATCTGATTTGATAATTTTTTTGATGACGTACGTGATTTATTAAATAATATGGGCGGCATTCCTTTGATTTCGGCAATAACTGTAGTAGAATAATAAATAATTTAATACCTATAAGCCTCAATAAAAACCCAAGTAAGCAAATAATAACGCTTGGTAAGGTGTTATTAAGTGTAATAATGGTGTGAAACACTTTCAGGACAGACGCTAATATTCATAGTTTTAATTTAAATATCGTTATATTTATTCTTTATGATCATCAGGGATATTTTGGTTATTTTTGCAATGTCGCTTTTTTTTAGATTCCAGAGAACACACCTGTTGCTTCCTCCATTTATTCTGTGTTTGCCAAGGATAATGATGCTGGACCACATGGAAAACTGACATATCAAATGATAGGTAAAGTAAACATGCATTGTTCGAAAATAATTCAAGAATCTGAACCCCTGTGGACATATGCTTTCAAACTGTTATTCAAAGTTTTTCTTCTAAAATGCCTATAAGAAATCATTTTATTTGTCCAGGTAAAGAATACATGTATGCACTGAAAAGGTCGAACAAGAAACAAATAAATTGGTACTTTAATATATAGTACAACCGGACAATGTTTTGAAATTGCACTTTTCTGTTGTCAACATTTCTGATATTTTTGATGAGTAATCTTATTTCGTTTTGTGTTCTGTGTATCATTTAAATTTATAAGTAGATGTCTATTGAGTACATCTATTTGTCGAAAGTACATGCATCTTTGATCATTTTAATTAAATTTCATCAAGTAGTTATTTCAGTTTTTTCATGTAACATATGTTAAGATTCATTAAGTGCAATTGTAAATCTTTGGAATTTGTTTAGTAATCCAATATTTTAATCAGGTGGAAATCCTATGTATAGGACCTTCTTTATTAATACTTCAACGGGACAAATTTACCTCCATAAACCAGTTGACTTTGAATCTACTGGACCAAAAACACACTCTTTACGTATCAAAGTTTCTGACGGAGGAGGACTCTCATCTATTGTTACTGTTGACGTCACAGTTACTGACGTCAATGACAATAAACCTGTCTGTACACCCAAAGAAACAAACATTACCCTACGTGAAGATCAGGTCATTGGAACAACGGTAATCACAATCAGAATATAAAATTTGATATAAGAAAATTAAAAAAAAACTCTATGATTTCAGCATTTATTGCTTTAATTGTTTTAATGATATATACAATTGAGTATATGCATGTTATTTTTTTGAAAATTGACACTTAATGTAGGTCTTATCGATCACATGTACTGATGCCGATGCAGGTACCAGGCTCTTATACCAAATTGTTTCTGGAGATCGAGGGAAGTTTAAAATATCTAATGCTGGTGACTTGATAATAAAACAAGGTAAAGGCGTTTTTTGATATGAAATCAAAAGATATCTAGTTTGGCGAAAGATAAATTAGGTAAGATCAATAACTGA